TACTATCATCAGGTCAGATCTAAAAACCCATCACTAAATGAGAAGACAAATTCAAAAATCGAAATGCTCCAAAAAATAAATATAAAGTGAGCACTTTGAGGACTAAATTGTTGAGAAGATTTGAACTTTGTCAGAAATCTCAGTCAATTTGAACACTTTAATCTTTGCCTAGGTTTATTTCCATGGCAGTTTTTGGGGTGTTTTGGATTATAATTAGTGTGGGTTTCAAGTTATTTGGGTGGGTTTTGAATTTCTTGGGTGGGTCTTTTAATTATAGGTAAAAAACAAATAAAATTTGGATAGGTCTTTAAGATTGAGACACGTGTTCCTCCGTTAGTCTAAAGAATATATACACCCCAAAAATTAGACGGTAAGGGCATTAGCGTACTTTCTGTTATGAGAGAGTGAATTTTTTTCTTAAATTCTAATTGTAATTTTTACTACTAATGATTAGTGAATTAATGATTTATGTGTGCTAACTAGTACATGCAATAATTTGTTCCTTCCATAGTTGAAAAGTGATGGAAGTTGGAAAGATGATCACATCACCTATGCAACGTGGTTTATACGAGTGGATGGGTTAGGTTGATTTTGACATATTTTTAATTTAAGGAAAAACTATCTAAGTATATAAATATTCGTATTATATTTACTAATTCTTTATATAGTTTGAAATAATTACATATTGTCTCACTAATTATAATTTCATACTCAATTTCAAGTTAGATACACCTAGAGGCTAGATACATGTATTTTTGTTATCAAATTTGTTGAAATAGGGAGAGAGGCGAGTGAGTTAATCTATGTATCTCACTTACATGTGAATCATATTAGATACATGTATCTAAGATACTAGATATATACCAGATTTATTCTGAAACTGAAATACATAAGGAGAGAGTAGAGCAAGATAAGGAAACGCGGCTAGCGAGAGAGTCAAATTACATGTGAATCTATTTGGATTCAGTGTATCTCAAATAAATCATATCAAATTTTGATTTCATGTATTCGAGATACATTTATCTGGAGCGATTTGAAGTCCAAAATTTTAGTCAGATCCGTAATATTGAAAAATCACGTGAAGGGGGTAATTGGCTTCTAAACTAATAAAATGTATGTTTTTTGCCTTTAATTTAACATTACACGATTCGTCTTTAAAAATTCTTTTTGTATTAAATTAAAATAAGCAAATTAAAACAAAGAAAATAGACAATAAGTTAAAATCCATTTCATGCAGCAGTACTAAATCTAGTCGTACTCTGCCTAGAATATCGGCTAGTTTTTGGCTCCATATGGAAGGGCCTCCTCTCATTGGATTATTCGAGGTTGGTCAAATGTCTATTTTCTTTGAAAAGTTATGAGTTTTTATATTTTTTGTATTTTTCACTCAGTATTTAATTGAAATTTAGCTTAAGCATTATAATTTTTTTTCAATTCTCGTTTTGTTCTTAAAGGGGCTTTTATGTAGTTCTCTTCAATGGTGGAGTTATTCAAGAATCGATTGACATCTCTTCGCTATAAAAATCAGTACTATCCAACTAAGTTTTTAAAAAAAATTGAAAATATGCAAACTCAACACAAAATATTACAAACTCACGTGGCCATATGTTTTAGTTTACATCCTAATAGTCGATTTTTTTTTATTTCACAGTAATATTTATACACATATAAAGATGTATGAGAAGTGTGTTTGAGTAATATTTTAATATAAAAATAATATTGAAGTTATTTCATATTGAATGTAGTCATTAGTTATAGTAATTTTTTAACTACCAAGTACCAACTCTACATTTCACTCAAATATATTGTATGTTGAAATCTCTTTACCGCTTTCGTGTGTTTACTTTTTTATATTTTAAATCTTTTTAATAAAAATTCCAATCCTCTAAACAGCGAAGGAGTTCCTCCTAAGGTGCAAGGGCAGCTCTACAACTTTGAAAAAAAAGAAATTGCCTTAGGCCACAAAATTTGTGGGCCTCATTTAAAAAAAAAATAATAGGTTATACGTATTTTTATTAAAAAAATATCGAGTATTACTTGTAGAAAAAAAAAAATTCATAAAAGAGTAAATAAGTAATAGAAGTTCGACAAATTATAAATACTATGTCTCAAGAAAGATTAAATAATTGGCTATGATAAACTTCATAAAAAATATATATTTGAATTTAAGGCCTCCATTCGGATTTGATATTAGGCCACCGATTTTTTAGAGCCGCCCCTGATTTTTTAGAGCCGCCCCTGCTAAGGTGGTCCTATATATGCTACCATATCAAGTAGTAAGCTGTACATATTTGATGCCTTCTTATTTTTTGTATGCATATATAAATGTCATCTAGTACTATAATATTAATTCCAGTTGTGAACTCAGACAAAATTGATGTAATTCTAGACGTAACCTTAGGGGCGGAATTGGAAATTTGATGAAAAATGTGTAAAATTAAATATACATTTATAATAGTTACTCCAACAATATTTGTCTACTATTGATTTTACACACTTCTTAAGAAATTATAAATAAAAGGGTAATCTACATTAATATACCCTTTATATATAATAAATACAATGTATTGACAAATGTAATAGAGAAATGATTATAATTAATAATAAGGCTAAATTAGGAACTAAGTGTAAAATTATTTATTGATTTCATAAAGTGAACAAGTATTGTTGGACATTCCAAAATAATATAGTGGACAACTATTGTTGGACGGAGGAGTTTGGTACGAAGGAGAAAATATTTTCTTTGAAAATAAGTTGATTTCTAACTTATTTTCTTATGTTTGGTTGGTGAATGAAAAATATTTTTCAGATAATATCTTTTATTTTTTGCTAGAGGGTAGAAAATACGGAAAATAATTTCTAGTTCGGAAACCAAACTCGATAACCAATTCCAGACCGACCCTGACACAACGACACCTTAATTGGAACGCGACCCCGACGAGTAATCTGGGGTCCGACCTTGACACTCGACTCGAAACCCGACATTTGAATCGAAACTCAACCCCCAGATCTGAATCAGAACCGAAACTCGACCCCCAGATCTGAATCAGAACACAACCCCGACGATCCATCCCCTGAGATCTAACCTAAAACATGACCCCGACTCTCGATTCGGGACTCGACATTCAATCTGGGACCCGACATTTAAATATGGACACGACCCCAACGACCAATTCAAGATCCAACCCCAATACCTGACCTTGACTCTCGATTCGTGATCCAAGATCCAAATTGAGACAAGACTTCTGAACCAAAATCCGACACCCAAAATTCGACCCCAATTCGAACGAGGGAATTGAGTCTCGAATCGAGGTTGGGAGTCAGGTCCTAAATCGAGAATTATGAGTCATTTCTCAAATTAGTATCAAAACTCGGCATCAGAGACTTGAGTTAGGGTGGAAAGTTGAGCAGTGAGGTTGAAAAAGAGTTTAAGAAAATGTTTCTCATTTTTTGGAGGTAAATTATTTTCTTAAATTGAGAAAAATAAGTTGATTTGAAAAACATTTCAGCCAATCAATATGAGAAAATTAGAAAACATTTTCCAAATTATTATTTTTTCTTCATACCAGACACACATAACTGTGGACTTCCAAGAGAATGGGTCATGTAACAGAATGAATCAATTATATAAATTCTTGACCAATCACATCTCTTCATTTAATTTAGTCGCAGGTCAATACTAAACAAACTAAAAGTAGTAGAAGTTTCATATAATATAATATGCCCACAATCATATTATATATATTATATTATATTATATTATATAGAAGCTAAGGAACAAAAAGTAGATATACATTTAATTTGTTTTTATTTTTTGCTATGGCTGCTTAGAAGAAAGGAACCAAAGAGTGAAGTTTTGTAGAGTAGTATGATCAGGTCTATAGTGATTTTGTGTAAAATAGAGCAAATCAGACCATGTGAAGTCCGGATAAATTCTTGAGTTGGAGACAAGAAGATGCTGTGGGGGTACCACCACTTTGTCTTCCTTTGGACACAAGAAAAAAGCCAAAGATATCCTTTCAACTTGTGTCTTAACTATTGCTCTGTGCAAACAACTTTTGTATATTCCATTTGATAATGCCTGCAATTTAATTAAAACAACACAATATAATTCAAATTTTTTTGACCATATTACATGTATTATCTACTACATATCTGAGTATTTTATATGCATATGATATACTACATAAAATTAGTTACGGAATTTGTTAGTAATCTTTGCGGTAATTTAATTATGTTATAATATATCACTAATTCATTGCTTAATGAGATTAGCATGAATTTTTTGTTGTTTAGCTATAGATTTATCCGTCACTGATCTTTTTATTTTCTAGTAGGGTTTAAGTCATACTACTCACTCTCTCTCTCTCTCTATATATATATGCTTGTTAAATTAACATATACCTATTCGATTTACTCTTTATTTTGTTTTATTTTATTTTGATAAACGTACATATATATATACTTTTAACTTCGTAGAAACTTGGCCAAACATGCTATAAAACCTTAAACGTACCTAAGAGATGAAAGGTGAAGTTGCAAGCATTAGATTATAGTACTTTAGCTTGTTCCTATCATGTTGTGTTCCACAACCTCTTCTCTTCATTCTAGCTAGCCCTATTTTGGAGGTACAATTTATTTTTACAATGACTAGTTAAATTTAAAATTATCTTTATAAAGTTATCACGTACATACGTGTTGTCTTTATCAAACAATACCTAATTTTGTTTTTATTTGATATGATACTAAATCAGAAATTGTAGCCATGACATGTTTTTTACATTATTTGGAGCAATTATCTGACCCTAGTTCTTACAAAAACTCTAATAATCTAGATATTCTTGATAATTTAAATAGTATAATAGAAAGCAGACTCTCTACCTCCCATAGGTAATAGTAAGGTATGCGCACACTCTACTCTCCCATACCTTAGCTACTTAGTCAGATTTCACTGGATTGTTGTTGTTGTATTGATGTTTAATTTCATAATTGACATTTGATTTGTCATAGCATATATTTTTTTAGTTTTTTTTTTAAAAAAAGAAGTTTTTGAACTAGATCATGAAAAATTTAACCTAGGACTCACCGTAAAAGTGTCACCAATATTGATGACAAGTGCATCATGCCTAGGTTGGACTGATTTCCATTTGTTATCAACAAAGACTTCCAATCCTCCAACTTGATCTTGATGAAGAATTGTCAATGAATTTGGATCACAATGAGGTGGAGTTCCAAGGACTAAATTAGGATCTTGACAAGTTGGATAGAAATTACATCTCATAATAGAACTTGTATCTTTGAAAAAGTCTTTGTAGAAACATTTTTCTACACCAAGGCTTATACCAAGTATCTCCATGATTACAAGTCCTACTCTCTTCATTTCCTTGCAGTATCTCTCAAACACCAATCTGTAGGGGGGGAAGGGGAATGGTCATGTGGTTGATAATCACAAGTGACAAATCCATAAAAGTAGGATCAACGACTTCAAAAAATAAGACAGATTACTTGCTATTTAAAACATATTGACATACAAGAAATTCTTTACATTATTATCGGTTTACATATATTAAGTCGATTAGGTTTTCCTTCCTTTAACTTATGATACCAATTCAGTGCGTTTTTTCCCAAAATACTTACACTATTAAGAGTCTCTTTACATCTTTTGTGTATCATTCCAATCTTATCAACTATCAATATGAAATTTTGTTCACGTACCTGAAACGTAAATTAGTTTCTACTAGATAATATCAAGTACTTTAGATGACATAGGAGAAACTAGTCTGAGAAAATACGTACCTCTCAAGTTTATAAAATATATATATATGTTAAATATATTGGAGTTCCTTGAGGCAATTTATTTGTTCATCTTCCATGATATATTTTAGATCAGCTACAGTAATAGGTTGATTTGGTATTTTATTTTCATGTAAAATGAATAAATGATGTATAATTTTTTTTTTATGAAATAATAGTTAAATACTAAATTTTGTATATGGATAGTGTGTAGAATCTTTACATTAACAAATTAAATAAATCTAAATTAACATGTCGTAATTTAGAATCATCGCAAACATAATGTGGTAACTTTAAAAATTGCAATGATGACATAGAAATTGTTCACACTATACCGATAATATATAATTCAAACACAAATACATAATAAGTAGTAAATATAAGCAAATATAAAAACTTTGGATATCCCATACATTACTAGAAAACATGGAATTAAATATGTTAAGTATCTCGAAGTTAATGAATATTCTTCTAATTCGACGCTAATTCATAGCTAAATGAGATTAATATAGAATTTTTTATGTTTAGCTACGAAATTTTGTCTATCATTAATTCGTAGCTAAATGAGATTAACATATAAATTTTACTGTTTAGCTACGAAATTTTATCTGATTCCTTATTTTCTAGTAGTGCAAACAGAGATACTATCCTCACATCAATTTCAACATAAAATGTGCAAAGAAAACTTACCCCATTTGTTCAAATTCTATTCCAAGTGAAGATTCAAAGAAATCAACAACAATACCACTCTGATTAGAGCCACCATTTTCATGAAAATTGAAGGATAATGTTTCTTTCCATGGCAATCTTGAAGTAAATCTCTCTGCATGGGCACCTGAATAACCCCACAAACTACCATGTTGTTTTTGAACCTTTAATTTTACTTCTAATGGAAGCTTAAAGAAGTGATTGACATGAGCATGAGCCATGTTAATTAATTTAGAATCAACTCCATGGTTTATAACTTGAAAGAATCCGTGGTTCAAGCAAGCTGTTTTGACAAGCATGGACACAGAATTGATGTCTCCAATTAGGTCTATTATTGGCTCATTTAGCTCTTCTTGTGCTTGTATTAGGTCTTCTTTGGGATAAATGAATTCTTTAGGTATGTTAGTTTGTTGATGAAAAGTGTCCATTGAGAAATACAAAAGGGACACTGGACTTGTGGCTGATATATATATATATGTCCTCCTTCCATTTATAAAGGATTTAAGTTATTTATATTGATAACGTAAAAAAAGCTCAGTATATTTAGTTTTGTTTTTTTAGATTTTCATATTAACCTTGCTATGTATGGTTACCTATTATTATAAGTTAACTTAATAATTATATTAAGACTTTTTTTTTGGTTCCCCACCAGAGTGTTCGGAGCCCACATTGGAGCCCCGACAAAATTCGGATCGTGCACTGCAGAGCCCATTCAGGGTTGATGCTCCCAACAAAATTTTCTCCAAACCCAGATCTTGAACCCGAGACCTCTGGTTAAGGGTGAAGCACTCACATCAGTGCACTACAACCCATATTGGTATATTATTAAGACTTTATAAACGCTAAATTTATGTCTAGATAAAAAGAAGGGCATATCATATGTCTTGGAGTTTTTCTAGAGGGATATGATGTTAGGTGTATTTACATGTGATCTTAACACATTATTTTCTTTGCATTTTTACCACTTTTAGGTGATACATCATGTTAAATACACTCTACTTATGATGATTGTGAAGTATTGATCTAATAATTGGAGTTTGGATGATGCATATAGGTACTTTGGGAATGAAAATGTGCCTTTTGAGGAAGAGGATGGCTCGAGAACGAAATTGGCGCTCAAGGAAAGGAAGTGAAAAATTGGTTGTGTTGGGTGGAATTATTACCGCGATGCAAGCTTATTCATTCAAACTAAGCACTAACAAAGGTGCACGACAAGGTAGTAACGAAAGAATACCCAAATTTAAAATTTTCCTTCTAGTTGAACTAAGAGGAAACAAACAAACTCAATCACAACCACTGTTGGACAGCAATACAGGACACCAATGCACCTCTCAAAACCAACTGAGCCCTGAGAATTCCACAACATAATGAAGTAAGGGGTCATTTGGATGGTAGTAATAGTAATGTATGAACTAATTATGCAGGACTTAGTTATTCCATCTTTTACTTGGCATAAAATAATGCATCAATTCCCTCATAATTTATACATGTAGTAGTTGGTGTGCTAAATTCTATACATAGCAACTAAAATGCTACAGAACATGGTATTAGTTATGCTAGTTTTAATACATGAAGAGTTTACTCCCTAACCAGCAACCAAAAAACATGGTTTTTAAAAATAAATTATATGAACCTTTTGAGGCAATTGCTAGGAGATTGAGTGGGTACGGAGCAAAGGTCTCTGCAACAAGTGTACTTAACTCTACTTCTTGCAGTTTTGCTAGCTACCCGCAAGACTTGACCTACATACCTATTCAGGCAGTAACTATGGGGGGAAAACTATATATTAAAAGGAGAAGCGACGGATGGGGTGAGCAAACTCTATTTGAGGTATTGGATGGGGACTTAATAACAAGGCAATCAACAATAGAACTCAGTAACCAAAGATATGAACTTAAGTGCATCCACTTAGAATAAAGTAAAGGTTAATGAACAAGATCAACAACCTTGGACGAGCACCAGCAAAAGAATAACAAAATCATTAACCTTTGGACTAGCACCAGAAAATCCATGCAGACCATCTACTTTCAACCACCAGAAAATTTTTCTATCTTATGTTATTTCCTGCATAAATATATGCCCAGACCATCAGTGAACGACAATCTTGCTTCACAACAGCGACATAATAATACGCCTAGACATCCTCATGTTTCTGATCAGATATAAACGGCCTTCACATCATTTGCTCCAAAGCTTGCAGAGCAGACAGGGCATTTGCGGTGACGAGTCTCTACAATTTTTTGGATACACGGATTACAAAAGAGATGGTAACATTTCGCGAGGACAACCTGTAATGTAATAAAGAAAACTTAGCTCTCAGAGTGAATAGGTATCAGATAAAGAGTCTAGCAAAGTTAAATTCTTTCCTCACTAATGAAATAATTACATGTTTGGAGAAAACTAGTAGCACCTTGGAGGTCAATGAAGCGGGTGCAAACCTTGAGAAAAAGGATCAATCCCGACAGGAAAAAAAAACTAGGCATTTTCTTGTCATGTCTAAACAATAATAAATCTTAATAGGTAATGTTACCTAGTACTTGTGCTAGTGGGAAGTAGCATACCGGTGGGATAGTCGAGGCATGCACAAGCTGACCTGGACACCACCGCTATCAAAAAATTATTTGGAGAATACTAGTTCTATTACCACCATGGCAAAAATAAAACCAATCACTGTAACAAGTTAGCTCTCAGAATCTCTTAGAATCTCACCAAATGGTGGAAGTAAGCATCACTGTGCTTATTCACATCAGACAAGATCATGTAACAAATTTAATATCTATGTTGTAGTCAGCCTACTGGTTAACACATGTTTGGTTAGATGTACTATTTTTTTGGTAAGGAGGTACTATTCGGTCACACTACCGGACACTGGTTGTCTCCCTAATTCAGAACCATGGATCTCATCACTGAAGAATCTCTTGGATATCGCCACAATATTATCTCAATAAACAATCTAAAGTAAGAACACATAATCTTTTCTTCCCATCTGCTGCCAGAATCACAAACTTGCAACAGTGGATCCTACATCAGATGTGACATTTTATAGGTACTTTCAACTTCACCAAACTGATGCTGATCGACCAAATAAATAAGGAAAAGGTCAGGCGGTCCAACCTCTTTGCGCCTATCAAAGCAAATACTACAATTGAGTATTTCCTTGTATTCCCTTAGTTTCTGCTGAAGCTTCTCAATAACAGATGACCCTTCAATGTGTGATCTCAAACGTGAAGTCTTTCTCCTCAGAGCTTCTACATCCTCCTCTGCTCTTTTTCTCTCAAACCTAGCCAAGTAAAGTGAGGACCATATAATAAAGGGACATATGAGAGTATTGGTTTAAGATAAATTGATACTGGGTATACAGACAAAGGTTAACCTTCAATTACCTTTCTTTCTCTAGTTCTATCTGCAACTGTGCAAGATCAACTCGAACTTTGTCGATCTTGGATTGCCATTCTTCCAGCGTCTCCCGCAATTGCTGGGAAGATTTTCTTACATCTAAAAACCGTTTTTGGGTGTTCTCCAAAGCAAGAGAATTCTGACCCCTATCGTCAGCAAGTTTCTGGACCAAGTCCGAGCATCCCCTCACCTGAAAGGAAATACACACACTTAATGGCTGGAGAAATATAAACATTTGTCACTTCAGAGAAGATATGCAATTACCTGGTCATCAATTTTGGCAGCTTTCATTTCATAGGAATTGGCCATTGTATTGGAATCTTCAACTGCTCTCTCTGTGATTTGACTTTCCCAGGCCAAACAATCCCGCTGTTGTCTTGCCCGTACTCCTTCTAAAACAAGCTGTGGAACAGAAAATAAACTAACTACAGAGTACAAAATAGGCAGCAGTAGAAACCTGAGACACTAGAAATGCACAGACAGAACGTTTTTTTGGGGTACTCTTGAAGTGATGTAAGGAAATTTGTGGATGGGAAACTCTAAAAATCCAACATATCCATGCAAAGCTACAGAAATGTGTCAAAAGTAGTGGTCCCATAAAAGAAACTAATACTGCGAACGTCTTAACCATGAGAAAAAAAGAATAAAACAAGCATAAAACTGCGACAACGGAAATTAAATTTGTGGTAATGCACAACACAATGCCGGAATCTCCTCTGCATCAAAGCAGTGCGGGACAAATTAATGCCACATTTAAGATGGCATTGCTCAGTCTTACTGAGAATGGATAATAATGAGATTCACTCAAATAAAGCGTAGGAAAAGCGAACCAGATGCTATTTTTAAAGTGGTATTACTAGCCAATCCACTACCGATTAGCCAAGTGTTTTCCCTCCTGTTCAAAGATAAGTTGGGGTCATGGAAATAAGATTTAATAACAGCAGCTACAAGGAGGAAAAAAAATTTTACACAGACAATAGTGCATGAAAATCTAGAAAAGAAAACCCTAACAGGATAAGTTTAAAAATGTAATGCATACAGAAAAGGTTGAAACAAGAAGGCATTCTGAATTAAGAACAAAAAAACAATGAAACATATAACCCAAGTTATAGAGTCAGACCAGAACTACCATGACTGAGAATGAAAAAAAAAAATGAATGAATAATCGCCACAGAACAGGGGGAAATCAATTGAACACAATTTGCTGTAAATGTCCACGACTTCAGCGTTGTCAAAGGCTCGCTTTACACGCACTTAAGCCTTGTAGCTAGGTGCAAAGTAGTTGCCCGTGCCTCATGTGAGGGCACTTCGGTACAAGCCTCAAGGCACCAAGGCATATGCCTTTTCGCCTATAAGTTTTCTTGAAGACATTTGGCACTAAACAATAAATATTTCACCTAATATGATAGTTTATATTATTTTGTCTAGATAACTGTTGTTTGCGTCTAGAGCCTTTCTTTCTTAAGGCTAGCACTTTGTCTGCACTGGCTCTAGAAACCCAATATAATTTTTATCCTTTTCACCTTTGATGAAACTGCTTATTACTCTTGACCATATGTATACACATATTTTATTTACTTCTTTTTATTAGCCTTTCTTCATTAATGCTCTCACTCTATATTTGTGCTTTGAGCACCAACTGACCTCGGCTCTTTCTTTCACTCTACATCTTTGACATTTGAGAATTTGTAATGAGATAATGTGTTGTTTACTTCCAGGTTTTCTACCAACTCTTCAGGCTCCTTGCCATAGTTGTGAGGTAGTCAATTTTGACAAACTAAGGTTACATGCAATTTTGTTGAAACTTGAAAGCATTCTTACAGTTAAAGATTTTCCAAACTTCTTTACTGTTAAACTACTTTCACTCATTGTGGTATTAGATGTATAATTCTAAGTACTTTTCCCCAAATAAATGTTTATAAGAGAATAATGGTTGAAGAAAGATAGCAAAAGGAAAAGGAAAAGTTAATCGCTGGAGAACAGCACCATAAATACTTCACATCTGACAAATGAAGTTTAACGAGAAATATCA